GCTGACCTTGTTGCTCAAACCTACCTTGCAGTCAAGTGCTTATTCTATATACCATGTGAACTCCTTCAAAATTATAACTCAATATTTGAATTTTTCCTTCAGTTCTTTCATCTTGAGAGATGCCATACATGTCCTTCCCTATTGGTTTACTAACTTCAGGTCTTTGCACATTTTATTGTAACTCTTTATCTTTTCAAACTGCCCTTTGAAATTCATCGTTTAACTCTTTTACTTCATTAATTCTTTTATTCACTTTAGCTACTCTTCTTTCAAGAGCAAGTTTCAGTCTCTTGTGGCATCTATGTAGGTCCTTTCTTTCCTCTGTAAGGCCATTTTGTTTGTTCAGGTATGGTGTAACTTGATATCATCCCCAGCACATCTGATGTTCCATCATTAGTGTTTAATGTGTCCAATATACTCTTGATATTGGTCTCTAAATTTAAGTCATATATTCTCAAGATTGTACTTTTGCTCTTTAAAAAACAAAATTATTGTGAATTGAGTGAAGGTTTATAGACCAGATCATCAGCTTTATATTCAACTGTAATTTTATTCTTGTGAATGTGTTTTAATTTTCTTCAGCTTCAACTTGAACTTGCATATGAGCATTGATGGTCTAATTCACAATCCACCCCTGCTGTTTGTCTGACTGATGATACAGAATTTCTCCATCATCTCTTTTCACAAATGTTGTTGATTTAATTTCTCTGTATTCCATCCACTGAGGTCCACATGTATAGTCACTGTTTATGTTGGTGAAATCCTGGTGTGGCCCTGTGGGCTAAAGCACTGTGGGCTAAAGCACTAGACTGCAAGGTCAATTTGAACCACAAGGTTGGTTATACAGGCTCACTATGAGTTGGGACAGATTCAATGCCACTTAACAACAACAACATTGTTGAGAAAGGTATTTGCAATGATTAAGTTTTTGGTCTTGCAAAATTCTGTCATGTGATCTCTGGCATCATTTCTATCAAGAAATCTTATTTTCCAGCTACCAATTCTTTTTTTCCAACTTTAACATTTCAATCATCAGTAATTATATATGCATTTGGATTGCATTTTTAAAATCAATTTCAGACTGCAGAAGTTGGTAAAAAAATATTCAATTTCTTCATATTTGGCATTAGTGGTTGGTGGGCAAACTTGAATATTAGTAATGTTAACTAGTCTTTCTTGAAAACATATGGATATTATCCTATCATTGACAGTGTTCTACATCAGGACAGATCTTGAAATGTTGTTTTTGATGATAAGTATGGTACTATTCCTCTTCAATTTGTCATCCTTGGCGTAGGAGATATAAAGTTGTCTGATTCAAAATGGCCATTACCAGTCTATTTCAGCTCACTAATGCCTTTATGAATTCCATTTCATCTTTGATGACTTTACTTTGTACTCACACTTCAAATATTCCATGTTCCAATTATTAATGGATATTTGCAGTTATTTCTTTGCCTTTTCAGTCATGCTACATCAGCAAATGAAGATATCAAAAGCTTTAGTCCGTCCACATCATTAAGTTCAACTCTACTTTGAGGAGGCAGCTCATCCCCAGTCATATTATGAGTGCCTTCCAACCTGAGTTGCTCATCTTTCAGCACTACACCAGACAACAGTCTACTGCTGCTCATAAGGAATTCACTGGCCAATTCACTTTGGAAGTAGATTTCCAGTTCTTCCTTCTTAGTCTTATATATAGTATAGAAACTCTGCTGCAATATTGGTGGCACAGCTGCCAATACCACAGCAGCATGCAAGTCACCACACTATGACAACTGACAATCAATGCCCATGGAAGAAACAGTCAAGAAATCAACAAAAATGCCTTTGGAAAATCTGCACTTTATTTCATAAAGTGTTAAAATTAAAAATTAAAAAGGATGTTACATGAGGCCTAAGGTGCACCTGACTTAAGTTATGGAATTTTCAATTGCCTCATATGTATGTGTAAGGAGCTCTGGTGGCATAGTGGTTTATGCATTGGGCTGCTAACCACAAGGTCAGCAGTTCAAATCCACAGTGAGGCTTTCTATTCCTGTAAAGATTTACAGCCTCAGACCCTTTAACAGGGTCAATATGAGTCAAGACCTCCTCAACAGCACAAAATGACAAGAGCAAAAACACATGCATGCATGTGAAAGCTAGATAATTAATAAGTAAGATTGAAGAAGAATTGATGCATTTGAATTATGATACTGGCAAAGAATCACCACCACTCATCATCAGTTTGTCATACTGTGGTGACTTACATGTTGCTATGATGCTAGAAGCTACACCAGTATTTTAAACACCAGCAGGGTCACACATAGTGGGCAGGGTTCAGCTCAACTTCCAGACTAAAACAGACTAGGAAGAAGAAGAGACAGACAACTTTCGAATTTCGGCCACTGAAAACCTTATGAATGGTAGAACGTTGTCTCATATGTTGTTACCTTATAACATGTATGAGTTTCACAGCGCACATTACATCCATTACACTTCATCTTTAATGATATTCTTTTAACACTTTCTTACCATTGACTAAGTAAATGATAATGATAAGCAGTTACCATTTACTTATCATTTTACTTATTCTTAGCAATGACCTCTATTTGAAAATAAGAAAAGATTCTTCTTAGATATAATCCTTCCAACTTTTACACCAATTTTAGAGTTTGAATGCATTCCAAGGACTTACAGTCCAGGTGATGTGTCCCTGTTGATCCATTTCCATTCCTTTATTATTACATTATATGATAATCCAATCCAGTAAATATTCTTATAAGCCTGGGATTGAATGAAAACCTATGAATGAAATGAAACAAATTATTTGACTGAAATCCTATCAGTTAGATAAATGAATAAAAGGATGGATTGGACTAGGGGCCTGCAGTTCCCATAACCAGTATTCTTCTATTCTCCACAGCATCCTCCATCACTCCTTATATTTCATTGTTGTTGTTGTTAAGTGCTGTTGAGTCATTTCCAACTGATAGCAACCCTGTGTAGGGTTTCCGAGGAGTGGCGTTATACAAAGTAATTTTCCTAAGTAGATTGTTTATGATAAAATTCACTATAAATCTTATAGAAGATTTAAAATGTGAAAAATGTAAAATCTAAATTCCAACAACAGGGAAGTCTGTTAAATATTTTATGGCACTTTATTCAACTATTAGAAATCTACTCCAGAAAACTACTTAAGGATGTAGAAAAAGGATCATCACATATTCTTAAGTGAAAGAAACGACAAAACAAAAATTTTAAAATAAATGGTGTGTGCATATGTATGTGTACATAAATGTTACATGTGAGGACACAGTAGAACCATCAGCCTCATAAGGGGAACACCTTCTGCATTTCAGGAGTTTGGAGGGGTGAAGGAAAAGAAGGAAGTATTTGAAAGCATTTAGAATGTCCCGAAAGATAGTATGTGAAAAGTAAAGCATTGTGTAATGTCTGATTAAATCACTGACTGCATTTCATCTTATTCTTACGTTTGACTATGAACTGAGTGAAGGTTTACAGAGCAGATCATCAGCTTTACATTCAACAGTTCATACCTCTTTCATCTCAGTGACTGCAATCCTCTCAATGTACATCACCTAGCCCACTTCCTCCCTGGGTTTCCTGTTTCAATTCATCCTTCTTTCCCAATCCTTCTGAACTTTGTCCTTGGATAAATTGTTGTTGTTGTTGTTAAGTGCCATGGAGTCAGTTCCAACCCACAGTGACCTTGTGTAGGGTTTCTGACATCTAAATTGTGTTATTATTTCAAACATGCCATTTTACATATGAATTGCTACAGTGTTTCTAAACTATAAATAGGAGTGTCAGACTAATCTTTGAGAACATTTCTCTGTAAATACACATTTTGTATATGGATAGTTTTTACTAGCAATAAATTAAAAAGATAATTTCAATATTACTGTTATGATAGTTTTGCTTTTTAAAATTCTTTTTGACAAATATTATCAACACTTATATATAATGTCCCCGTTTATGTTCTTCATTATTATATTTTGCATCTAGGGAATTTGACCCAGAAAGGCTTAGCAACTTACCCAACATTGCCCAGCTGGTGGACTTCTGGTGTGGTGCTGTGGGATTAGCATTGGACTGCAGACCACAAGGTTGTCAGTTCAAACCCACCAGCTGCTCCTTGAAAACCCTATACAGGGTCACTACAAGTCAGAACCAACGCGACGGCACTTAACAACAACTTAATAAGTGACAGAGCTGGACTTGCTCTCAGGCAGCCTGGATTCTGAGTTGTTGTTGTTAGTGCCCTCAAGACGGTTCGACCCAGAGCAACCCTGTATAGGGTTTCTGAGAAGTGGCTGGTGAGCTTGAACCACCGACCTTGCAGTTTAAACTGACTTTGCAGTCCAACACATTAACCCCACAGTGCCACACCAGGACTCCAGGTCCTGAGTAACTAACAGTGATTACAAGAAGAGCCTCCTTAAAACCAAAACCCAACCAAACCCATGGTTATTAAGTTGATTCTGACTCATAGCAACCCTACAGGGAAAAGCAGAACTGTCCCAAAGTGTTTCCAAAGGTGTAATCTTCACAAGGAGTCCTAGTGTGCTACTCTAGGATAAGCATGGGACTGCCAGTTGAAACAGTCCACTCCTCATATATCTGAGACAAGGTCGCTATGGATTAGAATCTTAACTATAACAACAGTCTGCTATTACAGAAGCTGATTACTGTATTTCTCTCTCATGGAACAACTGATGGGTTTGAATCCATATTACAAAGATAAATAACTATTGGTTCTTGGGTGCAAATTTTCAAAGGATCAAACACTACATGGAGAGAAAAGCAAACTTATCTGTGGGTGGTTCTCCCATAGATTCTTCAGAAAGGAAGGTAGTGATGGCTAAGACCTAAACCACATCTTAAAGTAGGTTTCCATTTGGGGAATGATAATTATCATTGTAAAAGATCATATGTACTGAATACTAACAGAGTAAGCAGCTGAATCATGTGACTATTAGCAGACAGGATCACCTGGTAGACTTAATTAAACACTTTTTGCTTATACACTAAACCCAAGAGAACGCTGGAGGTCTCTTTATCTGCACTGGCCTCTGTCCTCTACATCTTGAGTCCAAGGGTGCGAGACAGAGGCCAAGAAATTAAAACTGAATAAAATAGTCTATGGTACCAGTTCATCCTCATCATTGATCTTCAAAAGTGATGATTTAGATCTCTGGCAAGTCTGCACACACCGATTCCAGGTTTCAGATTCAGTGGTAAAATAATAACAGGTTACTCCACAACAGGACCACTTTTCTTCATCGAATTTACCTACAATGTATTAAGTAAATTGTTAAATTTCTTGCCATCTGATATTCAGTTAATCAGAACAATATATGAGTTCTCCACAACAAAATAAAATATAAGAGCTATCGATAGTAATAAGAAAAGGCTCATTAAAATTCTGAAGTGCCTTCTAAATAAAAGAAACTAGTTTTTGGAATTATTTTCTTTTCCTCGTATATATTTTATAATATACATATATTTTAAACTATTACTGATCCTTTAATAATAGAGACACAAATTTTTACTAACTACCATTTGTTGTTGTTGTTGTTGTTAGGTGCCATCGAGTCGGTACCGACTCATAGTGACCTTATGCACAGCAGAACGAAACACTGCCCGATCCTGGTCCAACCTGACTATTGTTACCACGCTTGAGTCCATTGATGCGTCCACTAACTACCATACTCACCTACCATACTCATCTACAAATGAGACTAAGTATTCAGTCTCTAAATATGTAAACTCTAAATTCTAAACAAATATTTAATAGTTGTTGAGTAACCAGATCAATTCATTCAATCATCATGCAAAATAACAAAATTTACTTGATAGGATTTAATATTTTTACTCTTTGACTATTTTAATTATATTATCACTCAAAGTTGCACAAAAAAAAAGCCCTCTGGCAAATCTTTTATATGTACTACAGAGAGAATATTCTTCTCACAAACTGATCTGAAATAAAGAAAAAATGGGAACACACACACAATCACCTTTATGGTTAATATGAATAAAAGTCACTGGTGCCCATTTTAGCGTAAGTATATTTTTACTTGTCCATATTTCATGTCAGTAACACAACTGTTGTTGTTAAGTGCCATCAAGTCAGCTCCAACTCACAGTCACCCTGTATAGGGTTTCCAAGGAGCAGCTGGTGAGTTTGGATCACCAACCTGCAGTTCAAACGGACCTTAGAATCCAGTGCTTATGCTATAGTGTCACAATGTTGTTGCTGTTAAGTGCTGTTGAGTTGGTTCCGACCCATAGCGACCCGTACAGAGTTTCCGAGGGTGTAAATCCTTACGGGAGTAGAAAGTCTCATCTTTCTCCCGTGGAGCGGCTGGTAGTTTCGAACCACTGACCTTAAGGTTCGCAGGCCAATTCGTAACCACTACACTACCAGAGCTCCAAAATGATCTGCATTCTAGGGGAACTGACATACTATTTCACCTTCAGAGAGCAGTAGGAATATAAGAACTTGCCACTGAGTTTTTGAAAAGATAAAGTACTTACAAGTCCAAACATGACTGCTGTGTTTTCACCCCCAGGTTTGAAACAAGCAAGCTCCAGCATCCATATTACATGTAAATTAAAGTGGTACAGCAAACCTCTATTTCACTAAATGCATCATAAGTCTGCTTACCAGGTTTTAAGGCTTCTGAAGCAAGAGGAAATAATGCAAATTCCCACAACTGTTAATAAAAATATTATCCACACCTGTCTTTGGCAAAAACTTTGATGAGATTCCAGTTTTTCTATGGCATCTGTTCTTTTTAGTATCAGATTCCACTTTTGGGTCCATTAAGAAACTGCTACTTTGTACAGTGTGGTTGCATTGACTGAGGTTTAGTAGAGTTTCATTCTTGTAATGTTTTTTTTCTTGAATATACTGAAAAACTAAAATTAACAACATAGTACAAAAAGTAATCATAATGTTTAAATATTAAAATTTAAGAAGCAAGAGAAAAGTTCTCAGTTGTCAACCAACATGTTTCATTACTTTAATTAGCAGTATGACAGACAGAAAGTAACACCTCAATAATTGACCATAGAAATGGAAACAGTAAATTTCTCAGAATTAACAACTTAAGTGAATGATAAATAAAATGTATAATAAAACTGTGATGACAATACCTTATCTTTCAGTTTAATTTATGTCTAACAGCTTGCTTTTACCATTTACAAATATTTATCAATGAAAAAAGTAGTCAACTTTTAGCAATACACCTGAATAAGAACATGGAGACTAAGAAATCTGAAGTGATATCATAATTATTGCTGAAGCAAATAGACTGAGAAAAGAAAGTGAATAAGGTCTACATATATAATTTTATTTGCATGTAAGTTATTTTTTATTTTCTTTAAAAGTATTAAAGTAATCAAATAAAAGATGAAGCTTGAATTCAGGACCACGTAACATTCCTTATTAGAAAAACTAGAATGGAAAAAACAATTAGTTGCGGTCAAGACAATTCCAACTCCTGGAAACCCATTGTGGGTCAGAATAAACTGTGCTGCACACGGTTTTCAATGGCTGATTTTTAGAAGTAGATCACCAGACCTTTTATTCCCAGGTACCTTCGGGTGACCTCCAACTGACATTTTGGCCAGTAGCCAATCCCATTTATTATTTGCACCAACCAGGATCCATTCCTATACAAAATCATTCTTTTTATTAAACCTCTTCTTAGTAATACCTAGAGAAAGTGAAATGAAAGCCATTGTTTAAACTGAATAGGTGTTTTTCAAATCATGTTTTATTGAAGATTTGCAAGAATCCAAACTCAGAAGGCAGAATATTATTAAGGCCTGTATCAGAAGCAGTGTTACAAAAGGAGACCGCTCATCATAGCTGCAGTCAATGGAATGAGTATCTAAGAGGAAAATGACACTGTGATGTATGGGGAAATCATCAACAAAGCCAGGAGCCATTTGAGACCTGTCTGATTGCAGCCACGGAAAAACAGATGCAGAAAAGTTAATTTAATTGCTGTGCAATTAGTAAGTACTGTCATTAATCAGGCCAGAAGGATATATTTCAATTACTCACTCGTTGTCCCCAACGCTGCAACTGTCAACAACAGAAGCAAACAGAGGATTCCCAGAGTCACTGCAATGAGACGCCAAGGCACTGAACACTCTTTAAATGAAAAACAAAGAACACAATTATCAGCGAAAAAGTCTGGCTGACTATGAACTTTAACCTGGGGAACCATGTGAATCAAAGATTTTTCTCTAAAAATTGTATTTATAGAAATACGATAACATACAAGTTGATGGGAATTTTTAATCTGAGAGCTACAGTTTTTAAGTTTCACATTTCTGGCATACAGACACATTACAAAAATTCTATATACAGGAACAGTGCAATGGAATTTCATAAGCATCTTCTTGTTGTTGGTAAGTGCCATGGAGTCAGTTCCAACTCATAGCGACCCTGTATCATGTTTCTAAGGAGCGGCCAATGGGTTTGAACCACCAATTTTACAGTTAGCAGTCCAGTGCTTATCCTACAGCATCACACCAGGACTCATCCCTTACAACCTCACAAATGATAGCAGACCCAATAGACATTTATGAGAATCCACACAACCATGAGCACTTCTTCCTACGGCCACAACCAAGCAGGAAGAGGAAAGAAAAAGGCATAAATACTTTTTTAGCCATCAGGTGCAATGATGAGTCTCTGACATGAAACTGAAGATATAATCAAAGTGCATTCTTTAAAACGTTTCTAGACAATAGTTTTCCCTTCATTTCAATCAATAAGAATTTTTTTCTAGGCAATACTATTTTTATCCTACTACTTTTAAGATCGCCAGCATCTGAAAATATCTCTGATTATTATTAAATTACCTAAAATGTGTTCTCAAATTAGAGTTAATATTATTAACATCAAATACTATTATATTTGAAGGTAGAATATTTTTATCTGAACTCTGTCTGCTTCATTTGTCACTAAAATTATGGTAAATATTTAAGATATTTAAAATACCTTTTGCAGGGGTAGAGAAGAAACAACATTGTACTTAATGCATATATTCTATATCTTACACATTTCCTTTTATTTCTCTAGGAAATGTGGTGTCTTTATGAGATTCTAACCTGTCCTTCTCTTTTTAATTCTTTGTTTTTCATATATTGAACAGATTTTTTAAGTATAAATGATATACAATAAACTGGACATATTTTAAATGTACAATTTGATGCATATACCTTATTAATCTCTTGATTTTGCCTTTTAGCATATGTATGTGTGTGTGTATAAATATGTATACATATGCTAAAAAACCCACTGCCATCAAGTCAATTCAGACTCATAGCAACTTTATATAAACTCATTGCCCCCACCAAAGTTTCTTATCCAATCTTTTGAGATTCTGTTAGTTTGATTTTTGTGAAGTGCTGTTAAAGTGGTTCCAACTCCTAGCAACCCTGTATATGGTTTCTGAGGCTTTACGTTTTTGCTGGAGCAGAAAGCCTCATCTTTCTCCTGGGAATGGCTGGTGGGCTCAAATCACTGACC